ACAAAAAAAAAAAAAAAAAAAAAAAAAAAAAAAAAAAAAAAAAAAAAAAACTATTGAAATTTAAAACAAAATTTTTGGTTAAAAGATTTTCAAATTTAGCTGGGTGCGGTGGATTATGCCTGTAATCCCAGCACTCAGGGAGGCAGAGGCAGGCGGATCTCTGTGAATTGGAGGCCAGCCTGGTCCAGAGAGACCCTGTCTCAGAAAACCAAAACATTCAAACCTTTCTAGAGTGGTAATAATCGTTGGCCCTAATCAAACGCTGACCTTTCACATTTGCAGATTTGGCCCCAGTGTGTACTCTGAAGCCTCTCTTTTTCCTGATCAACCCCTTTGACCTGTGTAACACCAGTCACTACAAAAGTTCGGGGCTCCGTGGCTCCGGTGGACAGCACTGGCTGCTCTTGTAGAGGACCTGGGTTTGTTTAGTGCCCAGTGCTTTGTGGCGACTGAGAAACACCTGTCACTCCAGCTCCGAGGATGCAGCTCTTGTGGCCTCTGAAGGCACCGGGCGCGCTCTGATGGATGTGCGTGCAGGCTAGCACACGCAAAGGTCCACACTTCCTTCATTCCAGGACATTATTCCCCACACTCTCAAGGCTCAAACTAAGCAAGAACATATCAGACATGCCATCTTAATTGCATGTTTGAAGTTACAGGAGGACCCCAACGTTGGCTGAACTGTGAGGGGATCAGTTCCGATTCAGTGTGTCTTCCGGTCACTGTTCATCTCAGTTTGATGAGACAGAGAATCACCTGAAGAGATGGGCCTCTAGCCAGGCACAAAGGGAACACTTAGATTTTGATCGCTGCCGTGGGAAGACTGCTGTGGACGGCACCTTCCCTAGGAAGGGGACTTTGTACAGAGAAGGGGAAGTTGAGCTCTGGCTTGCGGCAGTCCCCGCTCTCTGCTCTTTACTGTGGACACAGCGTGACTAGTCCAAGCTCCTGCTGCTGTGACTTCCCTGCCACGGTAGCCTGAAACCTGGAACTGTGAGCCAAACAAACTCGAGTTCCCCTCGACAGAATGACTCAGCCACAGAAAAAGCAGCCCCTCCTGCCTATTCTGACCTCACAGCAGACGACTTCACCTTTCTGATGCTTAAAAAAAAAAAAAAGAAAGAAAGAAAAAGAAAGTCGCTTTCCCCCAAATAACAGTCTACACGGTTCCTTTCATGTTTGTTTTATTTTGAAATGGTAAAACTGATACAGCTGTGTGTCAGGGGGTGGGACAATTTTTAAACCAGTAAGGTCAGCCGTAAGGGCTTAGTGGGAGGGGCTGCTTCCCGAGACATGCCGTACTAATAAGAAAAAGGAGAGAGAATTTAATCAACACTATCAAAAACATCCTTTAGAGGGACAGACCTCAAGAGAAATGCATACAGATTAATAAAATACTTTAAGGTGATGCCATTCCCGTGAATAAGGCAGGGCTGTGTGGTGTTCGCTAAACCCTAGATTCATCCCTCAGATGTGTGACTCTACATATCCATAAGAATGTCACCTTAAAAATTTTAATCAGAATGCTTGATACCTTCAGTTTCTCAAATTACAATACTTCTCCGTATCCCATCCTAATAACTGTCTACCCAGATAATTGTTCAAGCCAAAATCCCGGGGCCCCCACTCTTGCCTACTTCTCCACAAGCCTTACTCTCCTGCCTCCACGACCTTATCTCACTGTGTAACATGAGACACTCTGCCTATTGTTACGACTACGCTCCCATTCCAACGTCTGATCTACCCGGTTCTCACTGACACACATTAGAATCTCCCACAAAGCTCAGGCCAGGGAGCCGGTTTTATGTAAATGAGCGGATTGTGTGCGCGCGCTCCGATTGGCCACGACGTCAGGGTGGCGCGAGCCAATAGGAAGGTCGGGAGGACAATCGGGGTTCTGCCTATAAAAGGCTGAGGCGTCGCCGGCAGCGCGCAGTTTCCAGGTTGGAAGCGTCTGCGCGAGTGTGTTGTTGGCGATGTCCGGCCGCGGCAAGCAAGGAGGCAAGGCCCGCGCCAAGGCCAAGTCGCGGTCGTCGCGCGCCGGCCTGCAGTTCCCGGTGGGGCGCGTGCACCGGCTGCTGCGCAAGGGCAACTACGCGGAGCGCGTGGGCGCCGGCGCGCCGGTGTACATGGCGGCCGTGCTGGAGGACCTGACGGCCGAGATCCTGGAGCTGGCGGGCAACGCGGCGCGCGACAACAAGAAGACGCGCATCATCCCGCGCCACCTGCAGCTGGCCATCCGCAACGACGAGGAGCTCAACAAGCTGCTGGGCAAAGTGACGATCGCGCAGGGCGGCGTCCTGCCCAACATCCAGGCCGTGCTGCTGCCCAAGAAGACGGAGAGCCACCACAAGGCCAAGAGCAAGTGAAGCTGGCGCACATCCAAAACGGCTCTTTTGAGAGCCACCAAGTCCTCCTAGAAGGAGCTAGCGCTGGCTTGTGAACAGCCCTCAGGTTGACGGCTTGGTGGCTCTTAAGAGCCTTTGTGGGTGAAGACGCGTATTTAATAATTACTTGTTCTTGCCCGGCTTATGGCTCTCGGTCTTCCTGGGCAGCAGCACGGCCGCCATATACACCGGGGCGCCGGCGCCCACGCGCTCCACCGGGAACTGCAGGCCGGCGCGCGACCACCGCGACTTGGCCTTGGCGCGGGCCTTGCTTGCCGCGGCCGGACATGACGGCGGAATATGCAATAGCTGTTGCTTTTTTTTTTTTTTTTCCCCCAAGCAAAGGTTTTGAAAAGGTGAAGCAATTTGGTGTCATTTATAAGAGCTCTTGGCAGCGGCTCCGTTTTTAGCCAATCAAACTCCTCCTCCTCCTCCACCCCTCCCAAGAGCTCTTATAAATGACACCAAATTGCTTCACCTTTTCAAAACCTTTGCTTGGGGGAAAAAAAAAAAAAAAAGCAACAGCTATTGCATATTCCGCCGTCATGTCCGGCCGCGGCAAGCAAGGCCCGCGCCAAGGCCAAGTCGCGGTGGTCGCGCGCCGGCCTGCAGTTCCCGGTGGAGCGCGTGGGCGCCGGCGCCCCGGTGTATATGGCGGCCGTGCTGCTGCCCAGGAAGACCGAGAGCCATAAGCCGGGCAAGAACAAGTAATTATTAAATACGCGTCTTCACCCACAAAGGCTCTTAAGAGCCACCAAGCCGTCAACCTGAGGGCTGTTCACAAGCCAGCGCTAGCTCCTTCTAGGAGGACTTGGTGGCTCTCAAAAGAGCCGTTTTGGATGTGCGCCAGCTTCACTTGCTCTTGGCCTTGTGGTGGCTCTCCGTCTTCTTGGGCAGCAGCACGGCCTGGATGTTGGGCAGGACGCCGCCCTGCGCGATCGTCACTTTGCCCAGCAGCTTGTTGAGCTCCTCGTCGTTGCGGATGGCCAGCTGCAGGTGGCGCGGGATGATGCGCGTCTTCTTGTTGTCGCGCGCCGCGTTGCCCGCCAGCTCCAGGATCTCGGCCGTCAGGTACTCCAGCACGGCCGCCATGTACACCGGCGCGCCGGCGCCCACGCGCTCCGCGTAGTTGCCCTTGCGCAGCAGCCGGTGCACGCGCCCCACCGGGAACTGCAGGCCGGCGCGCGACGACCGCGACTTGGCCTTGGCGCGGGCCTTGCCTCCTTGCTTGCCGCGGCCGGACAT